AGAAATTTTATTAAAATAGTAGGTAGACATTGAGAATAATTGAAATTCAACAAAGAATTTTATTATTTATGAAAATAAAATTGAATCCTTGTAACGAATTATATCTTAAATCTTTTTTAAGCAAAATTGGATTCCTCTGAAAATTTTTATTATTTGTGAAAATATATGAATTGTTTCGAGAAATTAAATTATAATGTTGTAGTCAAAGTAATTGAATTCCTGCGAAAAATCCTTATTATTTGCGAAAATAATTTAATTTTTAGCGAAAAATTTCATTAAAACTTAAAAAAAATAATTGGATTATTTTCCTAGAATGTTACTAATTTTTTAAAAATAATTGAATTCTTTTGAAAATTTGTATAAAAATAGAAGATATTGAAAATAATTGAAATTGATCAAAGTATTTTATTACTATATGTAAAAACTAAAAATAATTGAATTCTTGTAAGAAAATTTTCTTGAAATGTTTGAAAATAATTGAATTTCTGGTAAGAATTTTCTATTTAAATTTTTTGAATTGTTTTTTAAGAAGTTTATTAAAATTACCTTTTTGGCGATTTGCAAATATTTTTTTTTAGTTTTTTAGTAGATGAGCGCGAAACCCTGTATTTTTTTATTATTATTGAATCAAAAAATAATTATAGCGAACCGTGTGAAATATTGGAGATATTAAGAAAATATTAAAATATTTCAGATATTTAAGAAGAATAAGAAGAGTAAAAGAAAGAAATAAATATTTTCTATTGAGAATATTATCGCCAAAGTTTATAAGCGATGAAATGGAGTGAAAGCATTGCACTCTGAGTCCCTATCAAGATGAGGAGTACAAAATATGGTGACCGCAGGGCGAAAATGTGCGTAAATTTAGAATTTGGGCCGAAAGCCAGATAATTCTCTGCTTCGTGGTGTGAAACGGCCTTTGCTCATTTCATACCCAATATCCCATAAACCACTTCTCACACGATCTACCTTCAATTACCTATCTGGCGTACATCTTCTAAAATGTGCTGAGAGCAAAGTCTCTAGCTGAGTGAATATCAGATTTATGAGTTACAGTTCCGCAAGGAGTCTTCAATTTTAAGTATATCACTATTTTATCTACACGAAATGCCGCACTTTCTTCATCAACACATACAGCTGCAATCACAGCACTTATAGGATTTTGCAAAAATTTTCAGTTCAACTGCGCAAGAAAAATACATAAACGAGATTCTGACATAAATACCGAGCATCAGATTCAATAACTATATATATATGCGAATTGGATTTTTTAAATCTTACAAAAGGAATTTACATTTTATCGTATATTTTTTAGTTCCAAGAATTTTAATTTTATTTCAATTCAACCGAATTTCCGTTTTATTTCATAAGTCGATCGAAATTCAATTCAATTTCTCAGCAATTGAATTTCAATTTCATTTCAATTCAATCAAAATTCAATTTGCATTTCAAGCGAATTTCAATTTCCTTTCAATTCAATCAAAATTCAAATTTCAACCAAATTTCAATTTCCTTTCAATTCAATTAAAATTCAATTTATTTCAATTTTCTATCAATTCAATTTCAATAATTAAAATTTTCAATTTGAATTTTCATTAATATTTAAAATTCAGAATTTCTATTTAACTAAATTTTTACTCAATATAAGAGAAAAATTTAGTTTTTAGCCAAAAGTTCTATACATAAATTAAATTTAACTGAATTTCTATTAAGCAAATTAAAGTTTATTTAACTGAATTTAGTTAATTTTGGATTTATGGTTGAAATTTTAGTAAATTATTGAAAATTTTTAAGTCCAAATCGTATACGCGCTTGCGCATATTTAAAGCTAAATTTTCGTTAGACAAAATTTTATTTGACAGCGTATTTAATAAATTTATAATTTACTGATGAGATTTTTAATTAACAATTAACATTTAGCAAAAATTATTAACATAATAAGAATTATTAACATTTAGCAGAATTTTTCATAAATAAAAATTAATCTATAATAGCGTGAATTTAGAAAACTTTGGATTTTACTGTTGAAATTTTTACTTAGCAAAATTTTCATTTAGCAGAATTTTTATTAAACAAAATTTTTTTAAACTTAATTCAGTTAATTTATAGAATTTACTGTTGAAATTTCCATTTATTGGAAAATAAATATTTTATTGAAATGAATGAGTTTTAATTTTTTTAACCATATTTCGATTTTCTTTTAAAAATCTGTTTAATTTTTTCAAGTTTTTTGTGAATTTAATTTATAAATTAGAAATTGCAATAATTAGAAATGAAATTTTGCAGAATAAAAATTCCTATAAAATAGAAATTCTTTTTCTTTCTCCAGAGTCAAGAAGATCATTTTTAAATACGAGAAGAATTGTTTGTAGATGAAAGTAAATCTTTTTCCAGATCAAAAGTTGATCTTTTTTTAGATGAAAATAGATCTTTTTGCAGATCAAAGCAAATCTTTTGCAGATCAAAAGTAGATCTTTCGCAAATGAAAGCAGAACTTTAGCAGTTCAAAGATAAGAAGAAAAAGAAAGAAAGAAGAAAAAAAGTTCTTTCGACAAATTGAATAAAGAAAGACAATAAAAGCCTGGTACAAATTAAAATTTAACGATCGAGAAGAATAAACTATCGTCTAGTTGGAAAAGAGTCTCTTGAAAATTGAGTCTCTTAAAAATTGAGTCTTTCAAAAATTACGTCTCTTAAGAATTGAGTCTTTGAAAAATTGAGTATGAGAAGATATAAGTTATCGGCATAAACGAAACGGAGACACGGACACGTGATTACAATGGAGAGGCGTAGACATACGATACTCACGGCTTATGCTTTCGCCAATGGTCCATGCTTTGGTAGAGCCACCCGTTTTACTAACTCCGCCTACCATCAGCCTCTCTCTTCTCTCTACCCTTCCACTGAAATTCATCCCATCTTCCTTTCTCTCTCTCTCTCTTGTGGGAAGCTGCGCTCCGTCGAGCGTGGGTGATGCTCTCTCACACATCAATGCAACCAACACCAACGTCAACTCCGCGACAAGTGCTCTGCATCATGTCTGCGCCCGCGATTCCTGAAAAATGTTCATTTCATTAATCTCCATAAAATATTTTTTTTTCGAATTATATTTTTTATGAAATATTTCTAAATATTTACTCCTGAAAAAATGTTTATTTAATTGATTTCTATAGAGTATTTTTGTTTACAAAAAGAATTTTGATCAATTTTTTATCTTTCCTTTTCTTTTTTTTTAATTTCAAATTTCCTTTCAATTTTAAAAAGAACATTTTCATATTGGAATTCACAGTTTTTCTAAGGATATCAAATTGAGACAAAAAACGTATCAAAAGTGTTGCGAAGCAACATTCTTTGTCTCAATTTGATATCCTTAAAAAAACTGCAGTTTGTGTTAAAAATTTATCGAATATAAAAATTAGAACTTAAAATTAGAATTCTGTTAAATAAAAATTAATACGAATCGAAAATCTAACAAATAAAATAATATATAAAGAAAAAGTATAAGTTCAATAAAAGCGTTTTGATAAATAAAAATTAAGTTAAATAGAAATTGTTGTTTATATGAAATATAAATTAATTATTAATTCTGTCAACTGTAAATTCTACTGTTCAATAAAAATTCTTTCAAAAATACTTAATTCAATTATTTTAAATTAAAATAAAATGCAATTCTCATCAAATTAAATTATTTTCGAAAATTTAAAGAAAATTCTCCAAAAAAATTCAATTATTTTTATAAAAAATAAAATTGTTCACATAAATTCAATTATTTTCATAAATCATTCAATTCCTAGAAAAATTTCAATTATTTTTAAGTAATTTTACAAAATTCTTCACAAAAATTCAATTATTTTCATAAAAAATAAAATTGTTCACATAAATTCAATTATTTTCATAAAAAATAAAATTTTTCACATAAATTCAATTATTATAATAAATCATTCAATTCTTAGAAAAAGTTCAATTATTTTTAAGTAATTTAACAAAATTCTTTACAAAAATTCAATTATTTTCATAAATAATAAAATTCTCCAAGCAAATTCAATTATTTTCAAAAAAAATAAAATTTTTCACATAAATTCAATTATTTTCATAAATCATTTAATTCTTAGAAAAAGTTCAATTATTTTTAAGTAATTTAACAAAATTCTTCACAAAAATTTAATTATTTTCATAAATAATAAAATTATCCACGGAAATTCAATTATTTAAAAAAATTGTAATAAAATTATTCGAAAGAATTTAATTATTTCTTCAAATCTGTTTAAATTCTTTGAAACAATTAAACACAAAATTGAATATTAGAAATTCTGTTTAATAGAAATTTAGTCAATTGGAAATGCCGTTAAATAAAAATTAAGTTATAAACAGAAATTTTTTTGAATGAAAGTTCTGAAAAATAAAAACTAAGTTGAATAGAAATAATTCGAATTTGTTGAATAGAAATTGTGTTAAATAAACATTAAGTTAAATGGAAAATTAAATAAATATTAAGTTAAATATAATTTCTGTTCATTGAAAATTCTGTTAAATATACGAATTTTGTTTTTTAAATGAAAAATAAGTTAAATATAATTTCTGTTCATTGAAAATTCTGTTAAATATACGAATTTTGTTTTTTAAATGAAAAATAAGTTAAATATAATTTCTGTTCATTGAAAATTCTGTTAAAGAAAAATTCTTTCGAATGAAAATTGTGATAAAAAGAAAAATTAAGTTACATAGAAATTTTGTTGAATGGAAGTTCTGGTAAATAAAAATGGAAATTAAATAGAAATTGCATCGAATAGTATAAATGTGACAATATAAAAAATAAATGTTTCTTTTCAATAAATTAATAAATTCCCAAAATAAATAAATAAATTCCCAATTCAAAATTGAATATCAATTCTCAATTTCTCCCTCGCAATGTTGTGGGAATTAAAACTAAAATCCTCAATAGTAAAATAATTTTCCTACTTGATGCCTTCTTCTCTTGGCTCTCTTTTTGCGGAAGGCGCGTCCCTCAAACGTGAACTCCGCTGGCTGACCATTCGTCGAGAGGTTTGCGCGAGATTCTAGACGCGACGCCTCTTGGTTTATATACACATTATACAAACACACATCTGCATTTTAAAGAGGATCACAAATCTAAAATGTCAGTATATAGATGTGCGCCAGTGTTTGTATGTATGTCTATGCGTCTATGTCTTCTTCACCCACACACCAAAATACCGAAAAGAAACTTGTGTGATCGGGCCTGGGTCCATGAGCCAACGAGATGAGATGTAAGACTATAGGCCGCGGAGATTTCTTATTTCTGCTCTGGTAAATCTGTCGTCCCAGTCAGTGAGGCAACGAAGAGCGAGCTGTGCACCAGTGACCGTGTCCACTTTGTTGTCGTTGACGTTTTTCCATTTGACTTCATTTTAACTGATGTCAATTTTATCAATCATCAGAAAGTTGCTTTCCAAAATCTTTCTTCTTTCATTCGATGAATTGTATACAATATCGAGAGTGGGATAAATCTGCAAAAAAAAACAGTGTTTAGAATTTTTGTAATTTATGTTCTTCACGTATAGACAATTTTTATTAAATCAATGTCGATTGATAAATTTTATGTTAATTGACAAACTGTAGTTTTAATTGCAGTTTCAAATAGAAATTTTAATTTTATTTTTTATTTCTCGTTTTTCTTTCTGTGAAAAGTTTATGACGATGGGACATTGTGTTTGAAGAGCGAAGAGAAGAAAAAATTGAATGTTTAACGAGAATCAGATTTAAGCAACAAGTGAAATTTAATTTCGAGTTGTTTATGTAGCCGACGGGTCAACTATTTTCTTCCCCCATGGATCCTATTGTTTTAGGTGAGCCGTCATTTCGTTTCTTCGATTTATCTCTTGTTCGTTAATTTTTATTTTATTTTTCACATTTTGATTCTTATATTCTTCGATTAAATATTTTTAGGCAAAAAATTTTCTTTCTATTCCAAAGTGTTTTTTCATTCTGTATTTAAAATTTGTAATAAAATTGTTAATAATATTTATATTAACATTAATAAAAAATTTAATTAATTATTAATTAAGTTTGGGTTTAATTTTAATTAATCTTTGCTTCGGTTTTAATTAATTTTAAATAAAATTTTTATTTTGGTTTCAATTATAATTTTTTTTAATTTTAATTTCAATTTAGTTTTAATTTGAATTCCTTTTGGTTTTAATTTCAATTAATTTTGAATTCAATTTCAATTTTTTTTAGTTTTAATTTCAATTAATTTTGGTTTCAATTTTAATTAATCTTTATTGCTTCGGATTTAATTAATTTTGATTATAATTTTAATTTTTTTTCAATTCTAATTTTGATTTAAATTTTAATTCATTTTGGTTTCAATTTTATTTCATTTTATTTAAATTTTAATTCCTTTTGGTCTTAATTTAAATTAATTTTGGTTTCAAAATTTTAATTAATCTTTGCTTCGGTTTTAATTAATTTTAATTTTTGTTTCAATTCTAATTTTGATTTAAATTTTAATTCATTTTGGTTTCAATTTTATTTCAAATTTAATTCCATTTGGTTTTAATTTCAATATTAATTTTGGTTTCAACTTTATTTCATTTCGGTTTTAATTTCAATTCCCTTTGGTTTTAATTTTAATTAATTCTGGTTTCAATTTTAATTAACTTTGGTTTTAACTAATTCATTTCTATTTTAATTCAAATTAATAGTTTTTTCAAAAAATAATAATTTTAGAAAAAAATTATCATTTTTTTGTTTCGTAGTTTAATTTCATTTACGTGAATTAAACAAAATGTTCAAATTAAACAGCAAATATTAATTTGAATTAAAAATGAAAAATTGTAAATGAACTTGAATCGAAAAAATAAACGTATTTCAATTACCCATTCAATTGAAATAATGGAAATTTCGGTTCGGATTTCCCTTCGAATCGAAATCGCTACTCGTTTAATCTTAAACCGTTTTTCATTTTGGTTTACGATCTTATACAGTAAACAAAAAAGCGTAACGTATTTCATGTTTTAATTTAACACACTCTAATTGTGTAAATTCGCGAAATTTCCAATTAATCTCTGACCTATTAACCCCGGAGTGACAAACAATCGCAAAAACATCATTAATTCTTTTACATTGTATATTAACCGTATAAATATATGACTGCGACGAAAACGTGTAATAAATTATTAACATTAATTAACATTTTTTTTTCTTGTTTTGTTCATCGTCCGATCAATGAATTCGTCATGGATATAATCACTCGAAAGTTATTTCGAAAAGGTTCTCTAAAGCTGATAAAAGTCCATTCATACCAAAAGAAAAAAAAAGTTGTTACCAAACGTCTCGGAATCACTGCACGGTCTCGTGTCTTAATAAACCATAACCGCGAGAACACGCGATAAAGTAAATCAAATTTAGCTTTTGATAAACAAACGACAAAAAAAACTAGAGACGATATATGCGACGATAGAAATGGTTCATTGGTTCAATTAGTATTATAAAGTATAATATACAAATCTTTTTAAATGTCTCTCTCGCAACATCTGCTTTTAATAAATGCAAATATTTTTAAAGAATATAATTTTTAGCGTAAAATAAAAAAATTAACATCCGAAATTAGAAAAAAGATTTTTATTTATTTTGATGGTTTCAATTTTAATTCATTTTGATTTTAGTTATCTTTGGTTATAATTTTAATTTTTGTTTCAGTTTTAATTATTTAGTTTCAATTATTTTTCATTTTGGCCTCAATTTCTATTCTCGTTGCTTTTAATTTTAATTAATATGGTTTAAATTTTATTTCATTTTGGTTTCAATTTCAATTCTCTTTGGTTTTACTTTTAATTTTAATTAATTTTGATTTCAATTTTAATTAACTTTGATTTTAATTTTAACAAACTTCAGTTATAATTTTCATTAATTCTGGTTTCAATTTTAATTACCTTTGATTTTAATTTTAACAAACTTTGGTTATAATTTTAATTAATTAATTAGTTTTGGTTTTAATTCAAGTTAATAATTTAAAAAAAAAATTGCAAAGTTGAAAATAAAAATAACAGAACAAAAGAAACATTTAAAAAAAAATTTGTACACTATTTAAAGAAAAGATTTTTCGTGTTTTGAAAGACAATAAAGCAGATGCTGGAGGGATTCAGTAGCTACTGAACTAGTTTTAAAAATCCCTTTTACAAAATAGTTACCAATGCATAGCTATAGATTCATTAGTGTTCAATTAGTAGTGTTTGTCGTTAATAAACATTAAACACAGCTTTGAAAATATTCGTTGACAAAGGACTATTCAAATACACTCGGAATTAGCTACCGAGGGATTTTGCCGTTTGTTTCCAATATGTCATTTTTCTTTTTCCTTCTCTGCTTTTACCTCTCTTCATAGGCTTATACATACATACGATTCCTTATGTATATATTTAAACCCAAAAGTTTCACCAATACAATATTATACGTACTTTCCACAAAATTTTCCTAAAACAAACATTATACATTTAAAAAGGATAATAATCTTTACAAGGAATTTTATTTTTCTATCTTAAAATTCTTAATATTTTGACAAAAAAAGTTATTTACTACATTTTTTTTAAAAAATATTCCATAACGAACAGAAACAGAGCAATTATTATTAATAATAATAATAATAATAATAATAATAATAATATTATTTTATGTAACTATTAATTTAAATTAATTAATTAATTATTATTACAATTACTAGCAAATGTTACGCGCCCTTGCGAACGATAGGAAGAATTTAATTTATTATTATTTTGCAAATTTCAATTTTTTTTATTTTCAAATATCAACTTCAATTCTTGAATGATTTCTGATTCAAATTTTAAAAAATTATTCACTTATCAACTAATTAGGTAATTATTACTACTTATTATTTTCTACAATATTGATAAAATTCTTTTTAAGAATACAATTATTCTCATAAATAATAAAATTCTTGGCAGTCATTCAATTACTTTTAGAAATTCTAATTAAATTCTTCATAATAATTCAATTATTTTTATAAATAATAACATTCTTGTCAGAAATTCAATTATTTTTAAAATTTTCAAAAAAAATTCTTTATAATAATACAATTATTTTCACGAATAATAAAATTCTTCGCAAAAATTCAATTATTTTGGTAAATAAAAAAATTCTTCGCAAGAATTCAATTATTTTCAGAAATAATAAAATTTTTGTCGAGAATTCAATTATTTTTAAAAATTTTAACAAAGTTCTTTATAGCAATTTAATTATTTTCATAAATAATAAAATTCTTCGCAAAAATTCAATTATTTTGATAAATAGTAAAATTCTTCGCAAGAATTCAATTATTTTCAGAAATAGTAAAATTTTTGTCAGGAATTCAATTATTTTTAAAAATTTTAAACAAAGTTCTTTATAGAAATTCAATTATTTTCATAAATAATAAAATTTTTCGCAGAAAATCAATTATTTTTAGAAATTTTAATTAAAATCTTTATAAAAATTCATTTTCTTTCATAAATAATAAAATTCTTGGCAGGAATTCAATTATTTTTGGAAATTTTAACAAAGTTCTTTAGAGTAATTGAATTATTTTCATAAATAATAAAATTCAATAATTTTAGAAAACTTAATTAAAGATTGGAGATTTAATTAAACTTCTTGAATTTTGATTATTTAGTAAAAAATTTTTTTTTACTTTTAAAAAAATTTTCTATTTTTGCAGAAGCAAAAAAGAAATCTTGTGCAAGTTTTTCTGATCTTTTTTCTTTTCTATTTTTTTTTTCAATGAAATAAGAGAAATCTCGTAACGTATCGTTAATGTATTTTCGGGTATACACCACTCGTTGCAATCGCATGCAGGGGAAAAGATGTAGTGCATCCTCTTGGCTTTTTATCTTTTTTTTTCAGAGACAGCTTCTTTATTTATGGAGTATCATCCTCAAAAGCGAACTGTTTAGATGTCTAACTGTCGTGTATATGTCACACAAGAGTCATAATTTTTCTCATTAAATTCGTTGACAGTCGAAAGCAAAGTGGTTTTTAAGCGCTATTAGAAAAATCGCACGCGATCATTAATTTAGTAATTAATTTTGTTTTTTTCTCATTTTTGCTAATAACTAATAACAAATCATTATTATTTTATTTCAATATACCTAATTTTGGAAAATATTAAAACAAACAAATAATTTACTTTAGGGAATTTAGGGGAATTTTATTATTTGATTTAAATTGTTGAATCCAGGAGGTAAATCCTACATAGAATTTATTCCAAAAAAATATTCGATAACTCGAAGGAATATTTTTTTTTGAATAGACAATTTCTTTTTCGAAAATTAAAACTATGAAAAAGGTAAATTTTTATTACTTTGGAGAATTTGAGAGAATTTGAAAGAAATTGAGAGAAATTTTGAGAAAATCTCTGAGAGAGAGTTTACAAGTTTTAGAAGAGATTTTTTGACGTTTGTATTATGAGTTGACGTACACAAATCCATAAACACATATATAGTACAATATTCTTCATGTATAACTTTGACCGAGCTCGCATATACAGAAAACGGGTGCACGTAATATTATTAGACTTTTTCTCGCGACGGGTGATGAATGGCTGAGATCAAAGAAACCGACATAGCCAGTCAGTTTACACGCGTGTAATACACGTGTTTAGCCAAAGAAACTCAACTTGACTCTTAAGAGACGAACGTCCTTTTATACATATATACATAAACGCTTCAGTTTTTTAACTAAGGCAATAATAACCACAGAAACCAAAAATTTTCACCCTCCTTCCTTTCAATCACTCATCGCTCTATGCCTGACAAATAAACCTATATAATATTTCAAAAAAATTGAAAAAACA